GCGGCAGGTGCTGCCGCCTCTAGGCGTGGCGACAAGTGCCACACGTCGACTGCCGCGCCTGCCGCCACGACTGAGGGGATCTTTTTTGCCAATTTGATTTATGTGTAGTCTTTTTTGTCAATTCGTCTCGGCAAGTGGTCTTTTTGAACAAAAAATCGTTGGAAAGATGGCGTCATCAGTTTTGTTTCTAGCGCCGACTCGGATTCAAACCATTGACATATATTGCCGCCAGTTCCACCCCTGCCGTGCCGCCTGCGTCCTCTCTTTCTTGCTCGCCCTGTCTCCCCAATTCCCGATCTGTCTGGTCGGCCTCCACCACATCCTCTTCCTCCCTCCCGCCGCCAGATCCGTGCTCACGTGATCGTCGTTTGATCGTTGCTCTCGCGATTCTGCGGCCGCGACCATGGCCGGCACCACGGTGCTTCCGCCTGCTCTGCTCCCGCGCCGTAGCGCCGCCGCCGCTGCCGATCTGCACTCCTGCTCCTCCCGCGTGCGCCTAAACCCTACCTTGATGGCCAACCCCGCTGCTGCCAAGACGCCAAAGCGTCCAGGATCCGTGCGCGACGTGCAGTCGCCGGCGCCGAAGCGCGTACGCGGTGCCTGCTCCGGGGAAGAGCTCCATGTCGCGGTCGGCACCAACATCAACAACAGCAGCAAGCTTCCGTGTTCCAGCATCAGCAAGGATCCAAGAACCAAGCTCGCCGTCATCAAGAACCAGGTCGCCGAATCTCCGGAGAGCGCGACGGAATCGAGGCCGCAGATGAGCATGCGCGAACTGATCGAGAAAGCTCGCCTCACCATGGCTCGCCTCGACAAGGCTCGCTCTGCCTCCGAAGAAGAGGCCAGCCGTCGGCGCGACATCGAGCGCAGCAGAGCGGAGGCCCGGCGAAAGGTGGAGCAGATTGTGGACACCGTGCAGTTCAACCCTGGATCGATCCCTCCGACGTGACCAAGTCCCCTGAGGAGCTGCTCAAAGCAAGACAAAACGCATGGCGCTATCAAGCTCACCTCCTCGAGATGGCTCGTCGACGGGACATGCATCAGCAGTGATCTAAGATGGCTCAAGCGATCGAAGCAGAGGAAGAAATCATCAGCAGTGCAGCCTTGTTGGTGGCAGTCTTGCTTAGCTGAGGAAAGCAGAGGAAGCTGAGTCTGCACTCTGCAGTGCTAGTGTTGCTTAGCTGAGTAGAGGAAGCAGAGTCACTAGTGTAGTCTTGTTGCAAGTGTGAGTATTTCACTGGCATGTTTTTCAGTAGTGCGAGTGAGATCACAATTAGTGTGCATTATGATCACAATTGATCACTTAATGCAAGGAATTGTTCTATGTAAAAGCATTGGATCTGATGTATGCAAGTAGCACCAGATCTCTTTCTATGTTTTCAGTCTGTTGTAGTATGTTTTATGTAAAAGCATTGGATGTGATGATCCCACCAAGAAGATCACTTCTGTGCTTGAACTACTATTCCAGATTACTGCTATTTTCCCGGAGAAGAACAGATATGCGTGCTCCGTCTAGAGAAGTTTATTTGTCGCATCAGGAAGGCGCCAAAAAGCATGTTTCATTCAGTACAATTGGTGTATATGCTATTTTCCTGGAGAAGAACAGATATGTTGTCTGAAATTTGCAACTGCCGCAAATTTCATTCAGTACAATTGGTGTATATGCCAGACCAGTTTCATGTGACACTGTAGAGAAAATCAATACTTGACGGCAATGGTGTTTACTACATTTAATTAACATATTTACTGACATGGATCCACTGAGGAAAGGGAACTAGAATGCATGATGCATCATCGGAATTCAAACTAGTACACAGCTTGATTCAAAATCATCTGAACTACAATGAGAAACGTTGGCAAGGCCCACAGGTATTGCAATTCTTCCTCCTCTGTAGGAATCTTGTGGCTTTACCTACTTTTAGCATAGCTTGCAACGTCAAGATGATGCAGACACAAAACAGTCCTCTTTCTGGTTGTCTGACTTGTAGCAGCTTTGAACTTCTTGGTTAATATTGATGTTAACTAAATAGAACTTGCCCTCAACAGTTAAACGAACTACCATCCCAGTTAAAAGATAGTCTGATCATCTTGAATGGTTAAAACCTGGCCAGCGACACCAACACCCATCTTTGCCTCCATTTGGGCATCACCAGTCATTTGTCTCCAATTCTCAAGGCAAAACTTCCAGCAAGACATTCAAAATACTACTGAAATGGTTTAATACTAGCCATCTCTGAAAGTAGTTCAAATACAAATGCTGTACACGTTTCTGGCCAGGTCTAATACTAGCCATCTCTGAAAGGTCAATGCATCTCTGAGTTCCAGCATCACGAGTCATTTTAGTTTAATACTAGCCATCTCTGAAAGTAGTTCCTACCCTACAAACTATTAGGGGATTATCCTCATAATTGATCCATTAATGCAAGGGATTTTCGTAAATGTAAAAGCGTTGGATCTGATTAATGCAAACGCCTGTCACTAGATCTCTTTCTATGTTTTCATCTGATCTATGCTCCCTCCTATTAACATTTTCTCATGAATAATATCAGGCACACGATTACACCAAGAAGATTGCTTTTGCGCTCGAACTGTTCCAACTTCCAAGAGACTGTTGTTTTTCAGAAGAAAAAGTTTACATCTCAACAATACATAATTTGTTTGTCGTATCAGGAGGACACCAAAAAGCTCATGTATGCAAGCAGCATCAGATCTCTTTCTATTTTTCCAATCTGTTGTATGTTCCCTCCTAATAACATTTTCTTTTCATGAATTATGACAGGCACACAATCCCACCAAGAGAATAACAGATCCCGCCAAGAAGATTACTTCTGTGCTTGAACAGTTTCAGATGACTGCTATTTTCCAGGAGAAAAGTTTACTCCTAAATCCTGATGCATACATGCATCATTGTTGCCAGTAGCTCATGTGTACTTGCTGTCTGAATTTGCAGCTGGTGCAAAGTTTGTTCAGTACAATTGATGTATATGCCAGACCAGTTTCATGTCACACTGCAGAGAAAGTCAATACTTGAAGACAATAGTGCTTACTTCATTTAATTAACATATTCATCGACATGAATCCACCGAGTTTAGGGAATTACTGCTCCCTCCGTCTCATAATATAAGAGCGCCAAAAACGCTCCTATATTATGGGACGGAGGGAGTAGTACACAGCTTCATCTGAATTCAAACTAGTACACAGCTTCATTCAAAATCAACTCAACTACAATGAGAAACGCTGGAACGTCCACAGGTATTGCAATTCTTCTTCCTCCTCTATACCTTCAGTATCATCTGCAGCTTTTCGGCTTTCTCCTGTAGAGAAATAAGGAATGCACAATGGAAAGATCAGCACTGCCCTGTACATGTTTTGTAGATCCTGGGGTGACCGTTTCCTTTTCCTCTGTAAAGGGCATTAGTTTGTTTGCAGCTAGAACAGGTGTAAGTAATAAAAAAGCAAGTGTAAATTAATGTATGGAAATTTGTTCACTCATAGTAAAATGTGTACTGTAATTGGTCTCAAAAGTCTGTTTAAAATTTTCTTATATTTTAAAAATATATCTCTGTTGTCTTTTTCGCTGGAAACTCAGAGATGCATTGACCTACACAGGCAATGGAATTGAAATCGTTTCACCTTGCATATCTAGGATTACTAGATTAGTAAAAGTTTAGGCCTCAATGTGTTTAGTTGCAGGACGAATTAATGGTAAGATTTTGACGCTGTATCGTGTCTTCCAAGAGGAAAGGTACTATTAGGCTGAGTTAAACATATTCTCTAGAAATGTTTAATGACCATTGGAAGGCTGGAACTACATATAAGGAATCTACAGACTGCATGTCAAGAAAGCATTGTTGTATTTCCTTAATCTGATGACAAATACCAATGTACAAAGTGGGTGCTCATTGTTTTTCTGGAGCCATTGTTCTTTCATAGAAACTGAACTCTGGGTAGAAAATGAGGTTATATCACCCTTGGTAAATCATCGGCGTAATCATCATAGTGCACGGACAGAAATGCAGGGATGGTTCGAATCTACTACACACTGAAGCCAAAGCGGTAGATTGGGGACAGAAATGCAGGAATGGAGGAACGCACTGATAAGTTTCAACAATGCGCACAAGCACATAACAACAGAGCAAGATTCCTCACAAACAAAAAACAGAGCAAGATATTGCACAAGAATTCGAGGGTAAAATGCTGCGATTTCCTTCTATCATAGTAGTACTGTACATCCAAACACTGAACGCTGAACAGTTTTGTTTTAGATTGAAAACACTGAATGCAGAAAACAGTTTTTTGCTTTTTTTAGATTGAAAACAGTTTTGTTTCAGGACGCGGAAGTGTTGTTGGTAAAACAAGTTGAGGACTACGAGTAGTACTACCAGTTGGAAAGATAGCGTCATCAGGCTAGTAAATGTTCAAATCCTGGGCCAACTCGGATTCAAACTGTAGATTGATATAGTGGTTGCCGCCAGTTGCCCCGTCTCCCGCGTCTCTTCTTTCTTGCTCGCCCCGTCTCCCCCAATTCCCGATCCACGCATCGCTTCCTCCCTCCCACTGCCGGACCCGTGCTCGTGTGATCGTCGTCTGATCATTGCTCTCGCGACTCCGCGGCCGCGGCCATGGCCGGCACCACGGTGCTTCCGCCTGCTCTGCTCCCGCGCCGTAGCGCCGCTGACCTGCACTCCAGTTGCTCCCGCGTGCGCCTAAACCCTGCCTTGATGGCCAACCCCGCGGCTGCCAAGACGCCGAAGCGGCCCGTGTCCATGCGCGACGGGCAGTCGCCCGCGAAGCGCGCACGCGGTGCCTGCTCCGGGGGTGAGCTCCGTGCCGCGGTCGCCGCCAACATCAAGGGCACAAAGCTGCCGTGTCCCAGCAGCGACAGGGATCCGCTCCACTCCTCCGTGATCAAGAACCAGATCGCCGAATCTCCGGAGAGCGCGACGCAATCGAAGCCGCCGATAAGCATGCGCCAACTGATCGAGAACGCTCGCCTCGCCATGGATTGGGCGCACCCTGCCTCCGAAGAAGAGGCCAGCCGTCGGCGGGACATCGAGCGTAGCAGAGCGGAGGCCCGACGAAAGGTGGAGCAGATGGCGGACACTGTGCAGTTCAACGACCCCTGGATCCATCACTCGGACGTGACCAAGTCCCCTGAGGAGCTGCTCCAAGCAAGACAGCAAGCATGGCGTTATCAAGCTCACCGCATCGAGATGGCTCGTCGACGGGACTTTGCTCAGGCGATGCAAATCCACGGATGAGTGCTCGGGTGATCGAAGCAGAGGAAGAAATCATCAGCAGTGCAGCCTTGTTGATCAAAGCAGAGGAAACAGAGTCGGCAATCTGCATTGCAGCCAGTGCTAGTGTTGCTTAGCTGAGCAAAGTAGAGGAAGCAGAGTCAGCAGAGGTTGCAAGTGTGTAAGTGTATTTCACTGGCATGTTTTTCAGTAGTGCGAGTGAATTTGGCCATCAGTTAATATGATCACAATTGATCAACTAATGCAAGGGATTTGTTCTATGTAAAAGCATTGGATCTAATGTATGCAAGTAACACCAGATCTCTTTCTATGTTTTCAATCTGTTGTGGTATGTTTTATGTAAAAGCATTGGATGTGATGACCCCATCAAGAAGATTGCTTCTGTGCTTGAACTACCATTCCAGACTACTGCTATTTTCCCGGAGAAGAACAGATATGTGTGCTCCGTCTAGAAAAGTTTACACGTCAATAATGCAGAATTTATTTGTCGCATCAGGAAGGCGCCAAAAAGCCTGTTTCATTCAGTACAATTGGTGCATATGCTATTTTCCTGGAGAAGAACAGATACGTTGTCTGAATTTTGCAACTGCTGCAAATTTCATTAATTAAGTACAATTGGTATATATGCCAGACCAGTTTCATGTCACACTGCAGAGAAAATCAATACTTGACGGCAATGGTGTTTACTACATTTAATTAACATATCCATTGACATGACATGGATCAACAGGGGTAAGGGAATTACATCATCTGAATTAGCTTCATTCAGAATCAAGTCAATTACAATGAGAAACGTTGGCAACATCTACAGGTACCTTCAGTGCCATCCGCAGTTTCTTGGCTTTCTCCTGAAGAGAAATTAGGAGCTGCACATTTTGACACGCTGGGAAATGGAAAGATTAGCACTGCTCTTTATATGTTTTGTAGATCCTGGGGTGGCCGATTACTTTTCCCCTGTAAAGGCCATTAGTGTGTAAGAGCTAGACCTACTTTTAGCATGGCTTGCAACGTCAAGATGATGCAGAAACAAGATAGTCCAGTTGATGGTTGTCTGACTTGCAGGAGCTCTGAACTTCAGGGTTATCCTCAGCAGTTAAACGAACCACATGTTAAAAGGATAGTAAGTATGATCGTCTTGAATGGTCAAAACTTAGGCAGCGACACCATCCATATGTGCCTCCATTTGACCCTCACCTACATCTTTCTTATGTTACTATAAGTTGAGTTCTAGATGATGGAAAATGGAACTGCTATCTTTCAATCTTGCAAAGAATTCTATATTTACCGAGTCAGGACTCTTAAAATGTGTAGCTACAGTTATTGTCAGTTGAGAGAAAGAAAAAATTGCATATCAACTTAAAAATAGACATTCCCAACACTATGCCAAGTAAAAATAGCACAATGTTAAGTTTTGGATGAACTAGCATACCGTGAATTTTCTTACGATTAAGTTTCGGTGGATCTGCTGCATGAATAAAAGCTTAATCCCTGTCTTTTTAGAGGATGGAGGATTAAACTTTGGTAACATCATACTCTTTAATTTGTTTGTAATGCCTTGTGTTGTGTACTGATAAAGGGGTTTGTGTGTAATTGCTCGACCTCCTTTTTTGTGATGAGAAACATTGGAACTACAATGAAGTATTGCAATTCTTCTTCCTCATCTGTACCTTCAGTATCATCTGCAGCTTTTCTCCTTTCTCCTGAAGAGAAATTAGGAGTGCACATTTTGACACGCTCGGTACATGTTTTGTATATCCTGGGGAGACCGATTCCTTTTCCTCTGTAAAGGCCATTAATTTGTTTGCATCTTGTGTACTACTTTTAGCATAGCTTGCAATGTCAAGATGATTGTAGACACAAAACAGTCTTGTTTCTTGTTGTCACTTGTAGCAGCTCTGAAATTCAGAGTTAATATTGATGTTTCCTTCCGGTTAGAAAGATAGTACAATCAACTTCAACGGTCAAAACTTGGCCAGCGACACCATCATCCATCTTTGCCTCCATTTGGCCATCACCAGTCATTTATCTCCAATTCTGAAGGCAAAACTTCCAGCAAGACATTCAAAATACTAGCCATCGCGGTCGGTGTGAGGACCCTACTGACAATAGTTCCTACCCTACGAACTATTAGGGGCTTATGATCACAATTGATCCATTAATGCAAGGGATTTTGGTAAATGCAATTGCGTTGGATCTGATTAATGCAAACATCTGCCACTAGATCTCTTTCTATGTTTTCATGTGATGTATTCTCCCTCCAATTAACATTTTTTTCATGAATAATATCAGGCACACGATTACACCAAGAAGATTGCTTTTGCGCTCGAACTGTTCCAAGAGACTGTTGTTTTTCAGAAGAAAAAGTTTACATCTCAACAATGCAGAACTTTTTTTGTCATGTCAGGAGAGCGCCAAAAAGCACATGATGCACTTGCTCCCTGAATTTTGCAACTGCTGCAATATTCATTCAATAAAACCGGTCCCAATATCAGACCAATTTCATGTACATTGCAGAGACAATCAGTACTTGGCAGTTAACAACAGTGGTGTTTACTTCATTGAATTCACATATTATTTGTTGATGAATTAACATATTCAGTGAGATAGATCATGAACCAGAGATGGAGAGGGGGAAACCAGGAGTAGGCACTTTGACACTCAAATGGAAAGGTTAGCTCTGTACATGTTTTTGTTGTTCTTTTTAAGTACTCTGTAATAAAGCTTGTAACATCGACAGGCACTCAAAGCTAAGACACTCCTGAGTCTTGACAATGTTGATCCACTTTCACTCGAAGTAAAAAGGTTATGCTCATGCAGAGTGTTTCCTAATGTTCATTTATACTGCTTCCATAGTCCATCTGGACTGTATTATTATACGTGTATATACGTGTACATGCTGGGATGGTTGGAATCTACTGCACACTGAAGCCAATGCGATCGATTGGGGGCAGAAAACTACAGCGACCGAAAACTACTGCACACTGATAAGTTTCAACAATGCGCACAAGCACATAACAACAGAGCAAGATTTCTGACAAACAAAAAACAGAGCAAGATATTGCAGAAGAACTCGAGGGTAAAATTATGTGATTTCCTTCTATCATAGTACTGTACATCCAGACACTGAACGCTGAACAACAGCAGCGAGATTGAACACTGAACAACCATAGCTAGCCGCGGTACGAATCTGGCTGGAGGCGCGAGGTGGATTCGACTGGACCTAGCCGCCGAAGCCGTAGAGGGTGCGGCCCTGGCGCTTGAGCGCGTAGACGACGTCCATGGCGGTGACGGTCTTGCGGCGGGCGTGCTCGGTGTAGGTCTCGGCGTCGCGGATGACGTTCTCCAGGAAGATCTTGAGCACGCCGCGGGTCTCCTCGTAGATGAGCCCCGAGATGCGCTTCACGCCGCCACGCCGCGCCAGACGACGGATCGCCGGCTTGGTGATGCCCTGGATGTTGTCGCGCAGCACCTTCCGGTGCCGCTTGGCGCCGCCCTTGCCCAGCCCCTTCCCTCCCTTGCCGCGGCCGGACATCTCCGATGATTCTCTCTCCGGCGAGCTTCGCTTGGCTTGGCTGGTGTGTGCGCTGCTGGTCTGGTGGTGGCTGTTGCGGCCGTGTGGTGTGGTCGGTGGTAGTGGCTTGTGGGGGATTTATGGCTGCGATGTTTCGGGGGAGAAGAGGGGCGTCATCCGCGTGATGCGAACGTGAGCCGTCAGATGGGAGATCAATGGCTGTGAGTGGGGGGAAGATGGGTGGCGCGGATTGCTGACATGGCAGGGTGTTGGGACTTGGCGGGAGGAGGTGTATTTTCCTTTCTTTTACAAATAGGGTCAAAGAAAAGCAGGGCTTTGAATTAACGAAACCATATCACACAAGGTCATCATTACAAGCACTGAAAAAGACAACAAATGGTCGAAGGATACAAGAGAGCACCCTGATAAGCTTATAAGAGCAACTCCAACGCGCCGACCCAAACTGATGCACGTTTTGTTCGCTTTTCATCCGTTTTGGTCGGCCAGCGGACATGCGCGTCCGCTTTTCCATTTGGGTCAGCAGGTGCACCCAAAGGGAGACATACTCATTTTTGCCGATGTGGTCAAAACTGACTTAGTTAAGCATAATTATACATAAATTGACGGTAACGTCGGCCAAAGTCCACTTAAACATAATTAAACATTAAAAAAACACTGAACACTGAACAACAGCAGCGAGATGCGGCCATTACAATGAAGACGATGAACACTGAACAACCATAGCTAGCTATGCTACGAATCTGGCGGCGCGAGGTGGAGGTGGATTCGACTGCACCGGCACGGCCTAGCCGCCGAAGCCGTAGAGGGTGCGGCCCTGGCGCTTGAGCGCGTAGACGATGTCCATGGCGGTGACGGTTCTTGCGGCGGGCCTTCTCGGTGTAGGTCACGGCGTCGCGGATGACGTTCTCCAGGAAGATCTTGAGCACGCCGCGGGTCTCCTCGTAGATGAGCCCCGAGATGCGCTTCACGCCGCCACACCGCGCCAGCCGCCGGATCGCCGGCTTGATGATGCCCTGGATGTTGTCGCGCAGCACCTTCCGGTGCCGCTTGGCGCCGCCCTTGCCCAGCCCCTTCCCTCCCTTGCCGCGGCCAGACATCTCCGGCGCTTCTCTCTCCGGCGACCTTCCTTGGCTAGTGGTTGTGTGCGCGCTGCTGGTCTGGTGGTGGCTGCTGCAGCCGTGTTGTGTGGTCGACGGTGGTGGCGTGTGGGGGATTTATGGCTGCCAGGTTTCGGGGGAGAAGAGGGGTGTCATCCGCGTGACGCGAACATGAGCCGTCAGATAGGAGATCAATGGCTGTGAATGGGGAGCATGGGTGGCGCGGATCGATGACATGGAAGGGCGCTCTGACATGTGGTGTTTATTTTTTTAAGAAAGAAAAATGGACGCGTCTAGTGGGCGGCCGGCTGCCCACTAGCGCGATGGAGCGGCCAGCCAAAAAGGCAATTTCCTGTCCCCCTTAGTCACAGGAA